AAGGGGCTGTAGGGTTCTGAGAAACGGCTTTTAAACGGGCGGGCGTGCAGACTCTCTCTTCCCAGGGACGGCGTGGAAGCAGCCGTTTGAAAAGCGCACAGACTTTATGAGATTCATTTGCTGATATTAAAGCTACGGCCTGAGGGGCCAAGCCCCCTACTCTTCTGGGATAAGGATGAAGGCGCTGGCAGGCGCGTCTTACATGCCCGCCCTCCCTTGCTAAAGCCAGTGGGCGCAGGTGTTTTCCCCCGCTTGCTCACCCTCCATCTCCAGTCTACCTGCACCAGCGTCTCCCTGCAGGGGAGCGTTTGCTCCAGTCCAGCCCCCTGGGGTTTTTGCTGCCATCTTTGTGCCCTCCCTCTGCCTTGCCTGAGCTGGCCAGCATCCCCCAGAAAAGAGTTTATGCCCTGATCTGATGCCCTAGTTTTTCCGACTGTTGTCTAGCAAACCCCCTCCGGGTAGCCTGGCTCTCTTGGCCAGCAGGGCTTAGACTTGTGTCCCCACAGCACTGTCTCCATCTTACTGTCAAGTATTGACGTACTTTAAAGCTGCTGCTTGAGGATCTGACTTCCTAATCAGCCTGAATCTAGGTTCTGACTGAGGTGTCCCCCTCCTAGGACGCTGATAGGTCCTTGCACACCCTCAGGCACTGGAAGCCACCAAAAATAAAACAGGGCTGCTTGGATCAACACAGAGGGCTGGGAGACACCCAAGGGCTAGGGCAGGCTTGAACAATAAGGCTCATCTCCTACACAATCTCCACGATTTCGAGAGGCGGTTGTTTCATCTAGAACACAGAAACCCCGCAGAAAGTCAGGTTAAAGAAAACAGAAACATGGTCCAAAGGAAAGAAGATAAAATTTTAAGAAAATCTTACTGAAACAGAGATAAGAAAGCAGAAAAGCGAAGTGAGTCTTTCCCCTTCCCCCCTTCCCACCACCCCCTCCCGGCCGCTTTTTTTCTTCCACTTAAAACTGTTTGGACTCAAGTCCTCAGTTCATCCCACAGAAGCACCCTGAGGCATCCTTCCAGATCCCTCTGTTCCAACAAGCATCTTCAGGTAGCCCCAGGGTCCCCTTTACTTTTGGTTTCTTGTGGCTAAGCACCAACAGGTAGCTACCCCACTGGCCATTTGACCAGAACCCATTTGCTTTGTGGAGGAGGTGGGTGTGGAAAGGTGAGGGGATAGGGTATTATTTTTCCCAACGCTCATCAGGCCGAGATGCCAAGACCCTGAGGTTTACAGCAGAGAGAGCTTATTGGCAAGGCAGCCAAGAGAGAAGACAGAGAAATGCGTCTCAAATTAGCGTCCCCGGAAAAGCGATGAGCGTCAAGGTCGGGA